CCCCCACCCACACTCTGAAGAGAAGCAGGGGCGGAAGATGCTGGGTGGGGGCGCAGGGGGGAGGCCTGAGGGATGGGGCTCGGGAGAGGCCAGGCAGGCAGGTGGGCGGGGAGGCTCTGGAGGCCCCACTGACCCCACGGCCAGCGCAGAACTGGCGGGGCAGGAAGGCAGCAGGGAGAGCGGGGCCGCCTAGCGCAGCGGCTCTCAAACCCCCGTTCCCGGGACCCTTTCTGCTCTGAGCACACAGAGCTTCTGTGCGTGTGGATTCTGTATCGGTGATGCCGTGTTCCAGATTTTTAAAACTGAGAAATTCTTAAATGCTTACCATTTAAAAACTAACGATACCAAACCTGTTGCACATCAACGCGTACAACATTTCAATGCAAAGTTATTATATTTTATAAAACAAAAACAATCAGTGAAAAGGGAGGCAGCATTTTACATGTTCGCAAGCCTTTCGTGTCCGGCTTGAGAGAAAGTGGCGGATTGTCCCTGCTCCGGGGCTCGTCTGTTGCAATGCGTTGCTTTGGTTACGGAGACGAGGACAATCTCACCTCCCACAGATACGTGGCTGGGAAAAGGAGGATCATGTCGATGGTCTTTTCAGGTAATCGTGGACGGTCCTGTTTGACATGGGTGGAAACCGGGCTAGCGGTGGTTCAGCTGGCTGCAGCGTGGAACCTGGAACCACATCAGGCAGCGTCTGCACGTGGCCACACTGAGACCCACTGGTCTCCCTCTCCCTGTGAGCGTCTCCACCCCAGCACCATTCTCCATATCGGAACTTGTCATGCGGGAACAGCGTGGGAAAAACGAGCTCACAGATACACGCAGATCTCCCAGCGCTGGCGCACATCGTCAGACAGCCTCGTAAAATCACTCAATGACATCGTCTCGCAAAGTCTCTAAACGTCCAAGACTCGGGTGAAAGGAAGCAGTGAAGGGCTTGATGGACGCAGTGTCCAAAATGCAAATTTTCACTTGAAAAGGCAAATGTGAAAGCAACGGACATTGCTGGATGGGTTCCGTAAAGGAACAGGCTACATCCGGAAGACAGCAGCCGTGGTGCGCCTGTCAGTCTTTCTTCTGATCAAAAATGGCGTCCCAGGAGGAAAGGCGGCCAATGGCATTGCCACCCGGCCCCATGGCAGGGCTCCCGGGGGGGAACCCTCACGCTCTGGTTTCCGGCAGGCGCGGTTCAGACGTCCTTCCCATCTCTCGTCACACGGAATATTAGAGCGTCAAGATTTAACAAAATTAGTCACTTTTACTGCTTCCCCAAGAGCACTCGAGTGAAACCAGCACCCTCCTGCGAAGGAAGGCGACGCCCGCCCGATGCGGTGCTGGCCGCACCTTTGCGCCCTTGACTCTGCACCATCAGCGACGCCGGCTCAGCGCAGACGCTACTGACGTCTTGGGATCGTTATGAGAATTATTGCGACCTAGCAGACTCCCTGAAAGGGTCTCGGCCCCCAGGGTGCTCAAACCTCTTGTTGAGACCCACTGGTCTAGACAGCGTGGACAGGGGACGCGGGCAGCGCCAGCAGGCGCCACACGCACCATGGCCAGGACTCCCCCGCGCTGGCCACCCAGGGCCCCCGTAGAGACACCGGACAGCCAGCGCCAGAGGCTACACAGGGGCCAGGACAGCGCTGAGCGGACCCACCCCTGGCACCCCTGACACTCCCCGCAGGCTCAGTCAGAGCGGGGGTCAGAGTGGGGGGCGGGGGCTGCGGACCCGGTGGACACACAAACATCGGACACATCTCCAGAAACATCACCTCCTGAGCATATGCTTCACCCCAAACACGACCCTCCGCCCCCGCCAGCCCGCGTGGCGGTGACTTACTCGACCACGGACAGCGCCATTCTCCTCATGGTCCCCTTGTCGGGGCTGGCGGGGCCCGGCAGCATGCTGTGGGCCTGCGCGCTCTTCTCCAGCAGGCTCTGCGAGAGCTGGATGGACAGGCTGCACACACAGACGTCGGACTCGAAGCGCGTCTCATTGCTGCACAGAGTGCACTTGTCTGTGTTTCCCGACGTGTCCTCGGGCCCCTTCTCCACGTCGCTCACGCTGCCCCTCGCTGACAGCGAGTCCCAGGTCAGAGAGCTGCTCTTCAGGTCGGCGGACTCCCGGGAGCGCCCAGCGCCTGCGGAGAGGCTGCCCTCCTCGCTGCCCGAGGCCAGCTTCAGCTCGCCGCCGCCCTCCTCGCAGCGGGGACACTCCGTGTTCATTTCCGCAACAGAGAACAGAAGGTTTGGAAAGGCCAGGGGTTTTGAGGGTTCCTTTGGAAAGTACCAAAAAAGCGTCATTAGAAGAAAGAAGAAATTAGAGTGTCAACCCCATTCGACAACCTTCTTCAGCAAGGACAGGCGTGGCCTAGGATGGTCTTCAAAGCACCAAGACTGAGAAGACAGAGCCGTGGCGAGGGCACCTCCCACAAACCCCCGAAGGCAAAAGGAGACACCTGAGAGGTCACTGCATAGAAACCTGCACCAAACCGGCCACAACAGGGCTACGTGACCCTGCACGTGGCCGCCGAGCACACAAACGTGGCCTGTCCAAAACCAAGGTGCGCGGTGTGTGAAGGGGAGACCCAGGAAAGGCCGCGCTGAAATGATCCGATTTCGGATACATTAGGCTATTAAAATTAATCTCACCTGTTCTACTTTCTTTTAATGCAGCTACTCAAAAAATTTAAATCATACATTTTATTTCTGCCAGATGGCACATCTCTTGCTGTGTTTTCGTTTTGAGCCACAGTCCCAGAAGCGTGGTCCCCGAGCCAGCAGCATCAGCACCACCAGGACATTGTTGGAAATGCAGGTACCTTCCCTCCCCCCACAGCGCCCTCTCCTGCACAGCGTGGCACGGGCAGGCTCGGCCCCCAGCTGCTGTGCACGTGGCTCATGGGGAACACTTGTCCCTCTGCCTCCGTGGGAGGCACCCAGGCTCCGTCCTCCCTGCACCTTCCTCGCTGGCCTTGTCCCATACTTTGCTCTGCATGAGCCTGGTCCACACAGGAGGGCAGTGGCTGGTGGACGCTTGGGCAAAGAGACAGAGAGACCAATAGTGGATGGTGGGTGGTGCGGTGGCCACCCAGTGCTGACCTGGGGCTCAGGCTCGGTCCTCTCAGCGACATTGGGCTTGAAAGCCCTGGGCGGGTAGTAGAGGAGGAAGCACATGCTCAGTGCCGTGAGGCCCTTGTCCGTGCACTTGTTCACGTCAGCCCCGAAGTCCAGCAGAAGGTTGACAATGTCACAGTGACAATGAACCTGGAGGAAGACAAAGCCAGAATCGCCAGGATGCGCCTGGCCCTCCACAAGGGGGCGGAAAGGATTGCCTGGCGTCCTGCTGCCCTGGCAAGGCCACCCACAACAGGGCGAGGCACTGGCGCTCACACCCGAGCATGGCGCGGGGACGAGGTCGAGCACGGGACAGAGGAACGGAGAGGTGACCTGCCCCCAGCCCTCCACTCCCATTTGGCCTCGCACATCACACCCAGGTGAGGGGATTTCTGACACATCAGCCCCCCTCGGACCTCGCTCCCCGACCCCACGGCACTCTACAGGCACCTGCGGGGCGGGGCAGGGCTTACGGCGGCTGCAGCCAGCACAGTGTAGCCCTTGGAGTCGGCCACATCAGCACTGACAAAGTTGTCCCTCAGGATCCTCTGAATCCAATCGTGGTCCCCTTCCTCAGCCTTCAGGATCATCTCCTTGGAAAACCGCTCCTTGGGCCCACAACAGGCAAAGCCACCGCGATCCCCTCCCAGGATGGCGCCCATGTTCCAGCTGCTGTGAGCCTTCTTGTTCCTGACAACACAACGGGCCCAGTGGCGTTAGGCAGTTCTGCACACTCCACACCCACCGTGAGAAAGGACCATCTGGCCACCTCCCTCCAACTCCGCCTCTGCTCATTCCTCAGACCCACACCCTGCCCGGGGCCTCCTTGCTCCCTGCACCGTGTGCGCCTCAGCACGCAGAGCCCCAGTCACGGTTGGCCCAGATGCACGCAGCCATGGGGGCATGCCACACAGGGGCAAAGATGCTCGGGCTCACTCAGCAGGAATATGCCAGCTTCATGTGGACCCTGTGCATCTCTGATGCACCACTTCATGTTTTCTGGGGAACGAACTCTCACAGCAAAGACCCTGGGTGGGAAGGAGGCCAGCACACACATGGGTCCTCCTCTCAGCACCAGGCTCCCATGCCCTACTCTCTGCTCGCTCACTTTTCTGAGTAGAGAACATGCATGTCCCATGCTTATTTACCACAAAGCCTCCTCTGTGTACATAAACCCCCTTCATGATCAAGAACCTGTGGATTTACAGTGACTCCTGTACCCAACAGTCATCAATGATTACAGGCTCAGTTGATGTTTGCACGATGGATGAATGGATGGGTGATTGCATGGATGGGTGGATGGATGGGTGGGTGGATGGATGGATGGATGGATGGATGGGTGGATGGATGGGTGGGTGGATGGATGGATGGATGGATGGGTGGGTGGATGGATGGGTGATTGCATGGATAGATGGAAGGATGGATGGGTGATTACATGGATGGATGGATGGATGGATGGATAGGTGGAAGGATGGATGGATGGATGGGTGAATGCATGGATGGGTGGATGGATGGGTGGGTGGCTGGGTGGATGGATGGATGGATGGATGGGTGATTGCATGGATGGATAGGTGGATGGATGGATGCATGGGTGATTGTATGGATGGGTGGATGGATGGGTGGATGGATGCGTGGGTGACTGCATGGATGGATGGGTGGGTGGATGGATGGGTGGGTGAGTACATGGATGGGTGGATGGATAGATGGATGCATAGATGGATGGATGGATGGATGGATGGGTGGATGGATGGATGGATGGGTGACTGCATGGATGGGTGGATGGATAGATGGATGGATAGATGGGTGGATGGATGGATGGGTGATTGCATAGATGGGTGGATTGATGGATGGATGGGTGGATGGAAGGGTGATTGCACAGATGGGTGGGTGGGTGGATGGATGGATGGGTGATTGCATGGATGGATGGATGGATGGATGGATGGATGGGTGGATAGATGGATGGGTGATTGCATGGATGGATGGATGGATGGGTGGATGGATGGACGGGCGATTACATGGATGGATGGATGGATGGGTGATTGCATGAATGGGTGGATGGATGG